TCATTTGTCACTATAATATATTTATTTATTTATTGATTTTCACTAAACTACCTAGTTCACTATTTAGAATTTATAAATATATCTTAGTAAATAAATTTATCAATAAAGTTAACACATTTAATATTTATTAAGATTAGCATAAAATCTAAATAAATTATTTTTTTAAAAATAGAATGAGTAATTAAACTGTTTATGTGAGATTTTAGTGGATCTCCTGAATTTACATGACTCCAAAATAATTGGGACTCACATATATACACATATATAGTATAGTGTAGAGAGGAAAGTGTGAAGGAGAGTATCGATTGTGCTTATTCACATAGTTATCAAATAGCCTATCATATATGAAATACCAAAAACTTAGTCAATATAGTTTTGGCGTGCAATGCTTGAAATGATGAAGTGTGGAAAAAAAATGTGAACAAGCTTAGCTTTTTGCAAACAGAAAAAAAGATTTACAAAGTGCAATTGAAAAGCACGTTTACTAAGTTGGTAGTAATTGATTAACATATGACTTGAGAGTTGAGAGGCAGTGTTCTCCTTGTCAGCACTTGCTTAAATTGTCGAATTAAAGTTGTTAGAATGTCAAATAGTCAATATGAGTCTACTGCAAGTTGCTCATCTTTCATTCAACCACCAGTCCACCACAACAATGGCATTTTTCTTATCTACTTTTTATGTGGTGCAATTTTAAACGCTTTCACTTCGAAACTGAGACGAAAATAGTTCATTTTTAAATTGTTTGCGGTAATAAATGTGTTCAAAAATCGTGTTCAGAAGTAGACATAATGGCAATTTAGTAATAATGCTTGAAAATCTCAACCTTTTAAGTTGGCTTTACTTTATCCGAGTTTAAAGATGTTACAAATTGCATGGATAAAGGTAAAAATACAGATGGTAAGAACTTTAGCTAAGAGTTTCACATTTTTTAAAACTAACATATGTTTTAAGGAATCAAAATTTCAAGAAAGAACTCATCATGATGGTCGAATACATTAAAAAAGGCCAACAAGTGCCCTCATCTGATATCTTATGAAATTCTGGTTCACATGATAGATGCTAGACACGATGTTTGAGACAATGCGTATAACGTTTTTATAATAGATTATCAGATACTAGTAAATAAAGCATAAAACAATAAAGAATACAAAAAACTGTTAATTTAGTTCGGTGCAACGTCACTTAGGTCTTGGGGCTTCCAAATTAAAAAAAAAATTCACTATTAATAATATTAGCACAATTAATCATAGATGAACAAAACTTGTTCAATGCCTTTCTACTAATACTACCAGTGTCTTTCTATTTAAGACTCTCCATAAATATGAGAACCTCTCATACTCTCTCTGAATCACAAACCCTAGTGATCAATACATAAAACTGGTTTAAGGATGGTTGAATTACAACTCAATTAACAAAATAACCTCTATGCCTTTGATATGGAACTTAGGCGCTATAGAGGTGCGCAAATAACAACAAGTACAAAGACTCAAATATCAAATCCTAAAACACTAAATCTTCAATTCTTGCACACACTTTTTTTGTTGTTAGGATGAGTCTTTACAAAACAATTCATTTGCTGAACTTTTCTTCAATGGGCATTTGAATTGAAAACAACAAAATTGATTTTGATAAAGATTAGAATTGATTTGATTTGATCTTCATTCACTTTAAATCTTCATTTAAATTGATTTGGTCTTGGAAAATTTTTTTTATCAAATCTTTCTTAAAATAACTTTGTTAAAAGATACAAATCATAAATGAAAAATCCCATTGGAACCAATCAAACACACACATATTTACTTTCGTGACTTGAATTACAGACTGAGACCAGATGTTGCACTCATGCTGGAACATCGTGTCCCACATGATGCCTCTTCACAATTTACATCTTGTTGTTCATGTTGTTTTACCCAAAGAAGCCAATCAAAAGAACAACACCTTATGAAGGTAAAATGATCAAAAGCATCAAAAGAGACAGAAGATAAAGAAGTCATCGACCTAGTGCCTATTGATTTCAAAAATATTGTAAAGAAGATGAACCAGCACCCCCATGTTAAGGTGTTTGAGCCTAGATAAATCCAGGATCGTGAATCCAACTATGCACAAATTCAAACATGATCTTGTAGAAACTCTCACCAGAATCCCCTTAGCCTTTCTGTTGGACATGTGACTTCACAAATAAGAGGAAGAGTGAATTGTGTGTTTCAGAAAATTTGATTTTGAAAAACTTTTAGAATCAATTCCAGAGTTTGAAAACATTTTAGAAAGGTTTTGAAAGTGAGCAGCGAATAATAAAATTCACAAAGTAAAATGAATAAAGTAAAATTTAAGGGAAGACACCAAAAGGTATAAAGGTTCGGTCGAAAGAAAAAGATCTAATGATATCACCGAGATTTTTTCTTAAGAGTATCCAATAATTATTAAGAGGTTCTAATAGGTTGAACTCTCAAACCCCATTATACAAGAAAAATTAAATGTTTTGCTAATTTTCAACCAAATAAAAAACACATAGAGAAGGGGTGAGTCTTCCTTCCAAATGATGGATCGAAGAAGTTAGTCTTCTTTCCACAAGAAACTTGAAGATGTTAGTCTTCAAGTTTCAAACCAAGATTTTACACTAGCTGATCTTGAACTTGAGAGAATTTTTACACCGGGCTAACCAAGAACTTATGAGATTTTAGCACCGGAGTGATCTCGAAAGAATTTAACACTAGAGATTTTAATAACAGACTAATTTCGAACCTATGAAATCTTTTAAACGGGTTGAGTCTTCGAACCGAACTAGTGACTTAGTAACTAAATCCCTAAAACCAATTTTTTAACAGGTTTAACTTTGAAACCAAACAAAAAAAAATCTCTAAATGGATAAGTTAGTCAACCAAGGTAAAAAAAAAACTTGGTGGATTTACAATACTACCTTTATAGAATTACACAATTTCTTCACTTGCAAAACAACTTTCTCAAAAGCGTTACGACTAAACTTTAGAGAGAGAAAGTAAAAAAAAATAGATAGAGTGAGGAGTGAGGTATGATAAATCATATTTATTAATGTCAAAATATGTGTGAAGAGACCCTATTTATAGGTTAGAGGTTGGAAAAAAAAAAGAAATATTTTGTGACAAATATTGATGAGACAATCAATTGGCATAATGCACCAATTGTTGCTGACATAAAAAAGTAATCGTTTAAGATGTTGTCCTAAATGTTTAATACATTTTTTCCTTAACCTAATCGATTGGATGAAGTGCCAATCAATTGACAAGAGCATAAAAATTGCTCATAACTTTTCTGAGAGTCCCCAAATCACATGGCAAGACTTCAAAGCATTTCTATAAATATTTTATTGAGAAAAAGAATAGGTTAAATAGTTGTTTTAAGTTTGTGTGATTAGCCATAAAACTTTACGAGAAAGCTTATATCCTTTTAGATTGTTCACTCAGACGCATTAAGGCGAGCTATCATTCTTCAAGGTTTTGTCAGATACTTCAATCTTATCTTCAAATTATAGATACTTACTTGATCATTTCTTTGAGATGTGGCTTGATTTATATTTAATTTGGTTGCCATTATTAAAAAATCCGACTTATCAAACCCTATTACTTTGGTTGCACTCTTAACCGCTTTATATTTTATTTTATGTATTATCATCAAAGATTAGTTGTCATCATTAAAAGCACATTTGTTTTTATAGAAACTTCTTTGATCAATAACCAACAAAATATAATTTCATCTTATTGTGAAGATAATAATGGTATAATGATTCACAAACTTCCATTGACTAAGTAGTCCTTCACCAAATTTAGTGATACCAACAAACCTAATTTTACTTCCACTTGTAGCATTTCAATTTGTTCATTTTTTCTCTAATACACCAAAAATATATTGATAAAATGTTGATTTGAATTTGGGCAAGTAACTAAGTAATTTTAGAAAAGGGAAAAGCCATCCACTTGATATTTTTATTATATCCATAAAACTTTACTTAATGTAGTAATAAACAGATTTTATATTATATTCACCATTCATATTAAACATCCATTCTTGAACATCTTGTTGAACATCTTCATTCAATGGAATGGACAAAATACTCAAACCTCTCTTTCTTCAAAAAGAAAAAAAAATTTCCTCAATATTTTCACTTAATCCACATCCGTTGAATTGTTGGAAAAGAGTTGAGACCTAGAGCGTGATCTCAAGATCTTAGACTCAAATCTCATTAGTTACAAACAACTCATATTGTTTCTTTAAATGGTTCCCCTTTAATGGACGACAGAATACATAATTTGAAAAATAATAAAATAAAAGATTCTTTTATACTCCATATCATTAGATTTAATAAGGTCTATCAGAGATTCACTCTATCCCCAAAATAATTGTACTTTGTAACAAAAGGATTCCCCTTCTCCCTTAACCATGCATCAAGACAAAAATTTATCTACCTCTCATCCCCCACTCGCCATCATAAGCCTCACTTAGTCACTACCTCTAAAGCGTGGATACTATGCCAAATAAACTCAGTTTATGACCAAATATACCGCCATCATCCCCCTAGATAATTTGTAGCTTTTAAGTTTTTTTGCTACTATAGTATCATGATTAGGAGTAACTTCAATCTTTAAACTTGTGTATGACCTGATGTCCGAGCAAGATCTTAGACACAAACTTGATATCCAAACAAATTAACCAAAGACACGTACTAATCAATCAAACTAAGGACACATATTTTTAAAATCTTTATACATTAAATAATTAAAAAAATGGAGTCAATAATAAACTAACTGCTTGCTTTGTGTTTAAATATGACGTGTTAAGTACGTGTATACGTACCTAAGAATTTATCAAGAGATAAGGACACTATACCAAGCTATTACCACAAAAATATAGTCTCACACTGATGCAGACCCATCCATATTCCCATTCTTCTCATCACATTATAAATTCATCACTTCTCTTCTTCCGATATTCACACACCCTTAACCTTTCTCTCTAACTCTTTAAACATGGAGGTTAAATCTCACACCAAGAACAACAACAATGAGAAAGAGTCCTCTTTTGAAGTGGACGGTGTCCAGCCTACCCCGAGCCCAATCCGTAAAATGATTGCCGTAGCGTCCATCGCTACTGGCGTTCAGTTCGGATGGGCTCTTCAGCTCTCCCTTTTGACGCCATACTCGCAAACTCTCGGAGTTCCGCATGTATGGTCGTCTTTCATCTGGCTCTGTGGCCCAATCTCTGGACTTTTAGTCCAGCCTATAGTAGGTTACTATAGTGACCGGAGCACTTCCCGCTTCGGTCGCAGACGTCCCTTTATCTTAAGTGGAGCCTTAGCCGTGGCTGTATCGGTTTTCCTCATTGGTTACGCGGCTGACCTTGGTCACTCCATGGGTGACGACTTGTCTAAAAAAACACGACCAAGGGCCGTGGCTATCTTCGTCGTTGGCTTCTGGATCCTCGATGTTGCCAACAACATGCTCCAGGGGCCGTGTCGCGCTTTTCTGGCCGACCTCGCAGCAGGGGACGAGAAAAAGACAAGAACAGCAATGAGTTTCTTCTCTTTCTTCATGGCCGTCGGTAGTATCCTAGGATACGCTGCGGGTTCCTTCGGGAAACTCCACAAAATCTTCCCTTTTACAGAAACAGTAGCATGTAATGTCTTCTGCCAAAATCTTAAGAGTTGTTTCTTTTTCTCCATCATCCTCTTAATCTTCCTCGCCAGCTTCGCTCTCATATATGTCAAGGAAACACCCAAGACGAAGCTAGAGTTGAACGACGACGACAAACAGGTTTCTTGTTTCGGGGAGCTGTTCCATGCATTGAAGGAATTGAAGAGACCAATGTGGATATTGATGTTAGTAACCGCCGTGAACTGGATCGCGTGGTTCCCGTTCTTCTTATTCGACACCGACTGGATGGGCCATGAAGTGTATGGAGGAGCTCCAGGAGAGAAAGCATATGACACTGGTGTAAGAGTTGGTTCATTAGGACTCATGCTTAATTCTATTGTTCTTGGGTTAATGTCTCTGGCTGTGGAGCCACTGGGGAGATTGGTTGGAGGAATCAAGAGACTTTGGGGTATAGTTAATTTCATTCTAGCTATTTGTTTGGCAATGACTGTCCTCATCACAAAAGTCGCTGAGCATGATCGTCATATCACTGGCGGTGCCACAGTCGGACATCCTTCCGACGGTGTCAAAGCCGGTGCCATGATCTTCTTCGCAGTTCTTGGAATCCCTTTAGCAGTAAGTAACACTTTCTCTCTCTCTATTTGATGGGTATAGTATAGTATAGAACTACGTATTTATATTTATATTTATATGCTAATATGAAGTATTTGATGTGTATCTATATATACAGATTACTTTCAGTGTTCCTTTTGCTCTAGCATCAATATACTCTAGTGCTTCAGGGGCTGGACAAGGTAAAGCAATTTATGTTCCATACTAGCATTAATCTTCAGTGTGTTATAAACAACTGCGAAATTTTATGTTCAAATCCGAATGATGATATTAAATCGGAATAACGATTTTACTCTCATTCAATATTTTCAGGTTTATCTCTGGGAGTCTTGAATCTTGCAATTGTGATACCACAGGTCTGGATATATTTTCTTCTTTGTCTATTTTGATAATATAAAGCAGTCATTTTTGAAAAAAATACTATCTCTCTTATCTGTGTCAGACATGAACACTAGAACAAACAAATATTTGTAATTATATTTAACATATTTATCTTTTCAAATTATTAATAGCATCCACGTGTTGTATTTGATTTTCATTATCCATTTTTTTCAAATTATTAATAGCGTCAACTTGTGAAAAGAAATATTCTAAATTTAACATAAATTTTTGTGTTTATGTATAGATGTTGGTGTCAGCACTAAATGGACCATGGGATGCTCTATTTGGTGGTGGTAATTTGCCGGCGTTTGTGGTGGGTGCGGTGGCGGCCGCCGTCAGTGCTATATTGGCGATAGTGTTGCTGCCGTCGGTGAAACCAGATGATGAGGCCAAGATTAAACTTGCTGCTGGGGGTTTTCATTAGTATAAGGAGACTTGCATAGGTTTCATTTTCATTTTAGCTTCCATCCATTTGGAAAATATTAAGTTTATAGCATTTTGATTTGAAACTTGTGTTGTAATAGATATATATTTTTCTAGCAAGAATGAATCAATGGTATAATGTTTACCGTGATTTTTGATTAAATGTAAAGTGTGATAAACCGATGATGAATAAGTAATTAATTAGTGCCATCATGAGATTTTAGACAATTTTAATGTCTAGTGTAAAAGAAATCGGATTCCCTCCTAATTTATACATTTTACCATTTTTCTTGTGTATAATATAACGGATGAGAAATTACAAAGAATAATTGATTAAAATAAAATATTTAAGAAGAGAAAAAATAGTTATGAATAAAAAATAATGACTATATCATTATTATTGAGCTTATAAGGATAGTTTCTGTAAATTTTGCTTAACATTGTCATGAACATACTATACTCAGTATATAATTATAAGGTTTTCCTTTTTTATGGTAAAATCATATGTTAATAATTTAGTTAATCACAGGAATATTTTAGTATGTTCATCACGTACCTTAAAGAACATAAACCTTAGTGTATATTTTAGCGTACATGATGTCGCATGAGTTCATATGGTATACCAATATGCGCTGAACGTCAAGACTGGCCATTGCTAGCCAATAAGGATGGGTACTTGGTTGTTAGCCTGATAAGGATGGATACTTGGTAGTTTGAAATTTTGTTGATCAACTCATCATCTTTGAATGATAATGGAGGTCTCTAGTTGATTAGTTAGTTCTCTGGGAGTAAACCTTTGTTGAAATTACTATTCAAGATAAAGCATCCATTCCTATTTAAGGGTGTGTATTTCAGTCGATAAGAAAAGATCAGACATAATAATTCATGTCTCTACCTTTAAGGAATATATTTATGGGTAAACTTTCTCAATTTAAACACAACTTTTTCTCAAGGCTATGGTCAAGATGTCGTCCCATCAATTAAAGATTCTTCTAGGTTGTTGGTAAGGGGTTTGAGAGGGGCTAATATTTGACCCTTCTATCATTATTGTTGAAAATTTTCATTGGAGGTTTTAATGTGAAATACTTCTACCACTTAGTACTATCTTAGTGTGAAGAAAAAAAATGAAATATCGCTCAAAGCATTTCCCACATACATCATCAATAATCTGGTATGGACCTGAGATGGTGGATATTAGACTATTTGTCTAAATTCGATGATAAACTCCTACAACATGTGAATATTTGATGTTGATGTAACATCGGGGGGGGGGGGGGGGGGGGGGGGGGAGGTTTACTTGAAAATATTTCAATGCTCAAGTTAGTGAATGCTCAAGGTAAAAGGATGTATTTTAGGTTGGAAAGTGTTAATGGATTTGATATTCACACCCTCTTTTATAATTGAACTATAGGATTTTGAGTGTTGATAACCTTCTTATGGTTAGTAGTTGTCCTAAGGGACATGTCTTAGAGTTCTATTCTTTGTATCATCTAACTATGCTCTTTCAATCATTTACCATGATTAGATGTTTCTTTAGGGCGAGACTTTGTATGTTCTCGATGATCTTCTTGTTTAGAGCATCTATACATTGATCCATTGATAATGTTCTAACTCCTTCAGAGGCGGTGTATTACATTAAGTCTTCTTTATCATGGGACTATATTTTATTTCGGTCGTATACAACACATTTGCTAGTGCAGGCAGAAACACTAGCCCCCAAGTCCTGCCTGGAAAAGTTCAGGTGTTGCTTGTCATATAAGTTATTTTTATGGCAGCCATTTTCCATTCTTTAGTTGATGTATCAACTTGTCTTACCGCTCTTGACTTTTGGTATTTTGAATTGTCATGGCTAGTACTCTTGACCAAATGACTTTTAACATAAGAGGGAGAAGTGAATTGTATTGTTTAAAAAACATTGTCTAATTACAAAAATTCGGTTTGTAGAAAATCTTTAAGTTACTTTTATAATTTAAATTGAGATTAAGCAACATAATGGTAGAAAGAAAGAAAGAAAAAGAGATAAATAGAAACGACAGTGTGTAAAGAAAATAAATTAATGGAAAATAAAAAAGATAAGAGAAAGAGATAATGCACTAGAGATTTATTAAGGTTTGGCCTAGCCACTTGACCTACTATTGTCCCTAAGAGTTTCTTCTTGAGGGTTCCACTAAAGATGTGAGTTTTTCCTAAGTTATGCCCGTGAATCTTTATTCAATAAAATGAATATTTGATGTGGCTAATCCCATAAAAAAACAAGAGATCTTAGCAGAATGATCTCCAAACGTTATAAGAGATTTTAACAGACTAATCTCAAAATCAAACAAAGCTTTTAATAGTCTGAGCTCACAAAGCAAGTAGAGATTTTCACAGAGTGCCCTCAAGAACTAAATAGAGATTTTAACACTTTTCTTTAATGATATTACATAAGAGATAATACATTATTTAGTAAATTGCAATAATTCCACAACAACAGAACAACACTCACAAAAAAATTTCACTCTCACAACACTAAGGTAGTTTAGATGAATTAATAAAAAGATGAAGTTGATAATAGTAAAGCTAAGAAATAATGGTTCAAAATTTTTTTTCTAGTGTACCAAAGAAATGAGGATCAACCCTCTATTTATAAGAGAAATTTTTTGTAAAAATGTGAAAAGACACATGAGCTTTTTAATGACTTATTCGATTAAGTATTACGGTTAATCAATTAAGATCTTCAAAAAATGAAAAACCTAATACCAAATTGGAAACACTACAATAGTTATGTGATTTAATCAATTAAGACTATTTCTAATTAATTAATGAGTCTTTTAACTTGCTCTAATTGATTGGACTAAGTCCTTAATCGACTAGGCCATGCCTAAGTGCTTCCCATATGAATAGGAACCCTCTTGGTCAATTCAACATGAATCCTGATAGTTTTCTAGAGATTTTATGGTGTTTTGGTTAATCCAGAGAGCTTTAAAAAAATTTTTAGGTTTGTGTGTGACTTACCTTATTAGTTCGAGAATTACTCTTGTACCTTTACATTTGTTGGAGCAAGACTTGTTTATGCCCTTAAAAGATTTTGATGATAACAAAGTATTAAAATAGAAATAGGGAAGACTTGCTAACATATGTTCAAGTGTGTAGAATAATAAGCTAAGAATTGATCATGAATTAATCCTGTTGAAAGCATAAGGGAAGAAATAATACTCAAATTTTGGATGACCAGAATCTGAACATGTTCATCAACATCTGGAGGTTCAAACTCTAGTATGTTGTCCAGCCTCTGGTGACAACTCATATTATAAAGGCTTAAGGAGCGTATGATCCGTACTCTGCACCAAAGGTGACTAGTCTTGTCAAGGTGACAAATTTATGGACAATGTCAGCTAGGGTTTGGTTTTGCGAGGCTCAAGGATGGTGATGTTACATCTTCAGTATGTTCTACCTTTTGGTAGATACCTAGTGTCGCAACTGCAAAAAAAAACTGGCAGAAACAAACAGAAGAGTCGCCACTGAACGTTATTTATCCCAACACAGGAAAGGAAACGATCGAAGAAAACCTAAAAGAAGGGAAAAGACAAGGTCATCGCAACCAAATCTTGGGTTCGGGAGTCGGTTACACAAGGGGAAGGTATTAGCACCCCTTATGTCTGTTGTACTCAACGGGATCCACACTTGTTGTCTAATCAAAAGGTGTGTTATCTAAAGCTACTGCTAAACGGAAATGAGGAAGGGAAAAGAAAAAAAGAGACTCGATAGGACATCGCCGTCCTATTCCTATGTATTCCCTCGTGCAATGGGAAAGTCAGAGTCAACGTAGTTCGGAAGACTACGGTGATGGGGGGAAGGTTGCCCGCCAAGACATCGCCGTCTTATGCTTACGTATCCTCATCTAGTATGAGAAATTAGAGCAAACGTAGTTCTGCAACTACGAAAGAAAAAAAGGAAAAGAGTGCTCGCCAAGACTTTTTCGTCTTGTGCCTACGTATTCTCATCTGGTATGAGAAATCAGAGCAAACGTAGTTCGGGGAAACTAAACCACAGGTTGGTTACGTGCTTTTTTATGAGCGACATTAAGTTCCCATTCTAGCAGTTAGGGACGATGTCTGTTTGTGGTAGAACAGAAAAGTAACGTGCTCTTTTATAAAAATGAGTTTGAGAAAACAATCCCGAAGGATAAAAATGTTTTTAATTTGTTTATGAGTTTTAGTGAAGTGAATTGATTTGATTTGAGATTTATGTTGCACTAAAGACTATGATATAGGAACGAATGCGTCGCAATCGTCCCCAGACGGGACGTACACTAAAAACTCTAGACAAGTAAGAAACTCATCACTCATCATTCCCCATATGCTTAAGGCCCGTGCGCATAATGTTCATTATCTTTATTAAGTGTGTGAAAATTGTTTTGAGATGAGAAGAGAAAGGACTTAAAGGGTGAAAAGAAAACACTAAGGGAAATTGAATCCTAATGTTATCATACAAAAGTGGTCCTAAAGTTGAGATAAAAGGGAAGTGTACCTAATGTTATCATACAAAAGTGATGGACCTAAAGTTGATATCAAAGAGGGAATATCCTAATTGTTATCATGCAAAGGATTGAAAGCCTAATGTCTCTCCTACTCCCAACTTAATCAGAAATTAAGTGGAACTAGGAATCCTAATGGATCATGTGAACAAGCACAGGTATACACCATATTAATCAATCATAAATGAAAACAAGATTAAAACTTAAATAAGTCTCAAGAAAAAGAAAGAGAATAATGAAAGATGAAGAAGAAAATACAACACTATGAACATACATGGAAGTTCAAATTCAAAAGGCATCAAGCAAGCATTGATCTCAATCACACAAGGTAAACATCAACATGACAAGGTAAACAATAAGTGCATACATTCCAAACCAAACTCAAAGATTGGAACTCAAAACAAAATGACAAGACAAGGTGCCAAAATACACATAAATGACTTAAAGTCCAACAAGAGGTGTTATCAATCATCAAGAAAAGAGAG